GCTCAAGCCATGCCCACCAATGATGCAAGACGAGTCTGCTCCTTTCTGAAGCAGCTGTTCTCCCGGTTCGGGACACCCCGCGCCATCATTAGTGATAGAAGAACCCATTTTCAAGGGCAATTCACTAAACTCCTCTCTCGCTATGGTGTTAAGCATAAGGTGTCGGTGGCCTACCATCCCCAGTCAAATGGGTAGGCCGAGCTGACGAACCGGGAGCTAAAACGAATTATTGAAAAGACGGTGGATCAGTCCCGCAAGGATTGGTCCACCAAGCTCGATGATGCTCTTTGGGCGTATAGGACTGCCTATAAAAATCCGATTGGCACTTCTCCCTATAGGCTTGTCTATGGGAAGGCGTGCCATTTGCTGGTAGAGCCAGAGCACAAGGCCTTCTGGGCCATTAAGCTGCTAAACATGGATTTGAGTGTTGCAGGTACAGAACGTAAGTTGCAGCTGCTGGAGTTGGAGGAGTGGCGTTACCATGCCTACGAGAACACCTTGCTCTACAAGGAGCGCACCAAGCGTCTCCACGACGCTCGGTTGAGGGGCCCGAAAGAGTTTCAGGTAGGTGATCGTGTTCTGCTTTTCAATGCACGCCTGAAACTCTTCCCGGGTAAGCTCCGTTCGAGGTGGTCGGGTCCCTTCACGGTCACCCAAGTTTTTCCGCACGGTGCGGTGGAGATCAGCAATGCTCAAACTGAGCCATTCAAGGTGAATGGCCACCTCCTAAAGTTGTATTTGGGAGGTGCGGTCGAGCGCACAGAGCTGCTGATCAAGCTTGAGGACCCTTAGTTCCTCTACTGGCGTCCAGCTAAAAGACGGTAAAGAAGCGCTTGTGGGGAGGCAACCCCACCTAGGTTTGCATTTTCTTACCTTTTTCCTTTTGATTTGATTTTTTGTGTTTTTTGAGTCTTGAGGGGTTGTTCACGAGTTATATGTCGTTCTGGAGTGAAAACAGGTCAATTTCGGAGTTCTGGCAGCTCACACGGCCAGCCCTGAGGATCACACGGCCGTGTGGAAAATAGGTTAGGCCGTGTGAGCTCTCACAGAAATCCACACGGCCAGATGAGATTGTGGCACGGCCGTGTGGAAATTTGCCCTGGCCATGTTAGCTCTCGCATAATATGGCACGGGCAAATGAGCACTCGGCATGGCCGCGTGAAATTCCTCGGCCAGGCCGTGTCGGCCAACACGGGCAAACTTGCACCTCGCACGGTCGTGCGAGCCTGCCCGTGCGGCCGAGGCACGGCTTATATATTCGGCCAGCACGGCCGAGTGGTCATAATTTTGAAAAATCCTCGCCGGAATCCTCTGAACCTCGCCGGAAAACCGCGACAAAGCCCCCCATTTCGCTTGTTTCGGCCATTTTTTGTCATTTTTCCACCAAACCAACATTAAACCCACCCTTCCTACACCAAAAGCGGCCTATCCCTCCATTTTGAGCGGATTTGGCCGACGTTTTTGTCACCGGAGGAGATTTCCGGCGAGACTCCGGCGAGGCTCCGACGAGCACTTCCGGGCACTTTTTCGGCTTTTCGTCGCTTCCATCGCCTTCCCCTCATCATCCCCTACACCTCTACTTGAGTCTCCAGGTTTGATTTTGCCCTTAACTATGTTAATTGTGGAGAATTGGGTGTTAGGATGCACGTTTAGAGAACCTCCTTGAATCTTGTGATTTTCGTGCAATTGATTGAGGGGAATGCATGGAGTGTGTTTGAATTGTGTTGGGAAAAGTCCCTCTTGATTGTTTGAGCCCTTGTGTGCAAGAATTGTGCCAATTTCATGTTTACCTTAATAGTGCACACAAGGTGTTCGATGAAATGCCTGTTTTCGTACCATTTTGTGGGGGTCGGTTGGGGCCCTTAATGATGTGCTTTGAGGGTGTGTTTGGTATGGATGTGAACCTTGAGTTGCCTACTTGTTCATGGATTTGCACTCCCACTCAGATTATGCTTGATTTATCGAGTTTTTGACCCCCGAACTATGGATGAAACCATGGTTAGGCTGTTTTCTGTTCTTAAGTGTGGGGGTGTGATTAACATTTTCCTTGGCTGTTTTGGTTCCACTTTGGGCTGTTCTTTTGCAGGACCATGTCGAAGCCCAACCTCCGGCACCAGTTTGTTCAAGATTTGAGAAGGGCGCCCCACCGGGATCGTTTTCAGAACGTCCTGGCCTGCAAGTTTGGGCAGCATCATTACTGGTCGAAGCGCGAATTGGAGAAGCTGAACTGCTACGAGCACCTCTCCCCCGTTGTCACCAACCGCTACTGGCGCCGCCTACTCAGCATTCGCGCGAAGGTTTACCATGAGCTCGTGCTTGAGTTCTACACTACCTTCAAGCACGCAGCCACGGACGATTGGAAGGACGAAGCTGCCGTCCAGTTCTGACTCGGCGGTGAACCACGATCCATGAGCTACGACGAGCTGGCGGACGCCCTCGGCCTCAACCTGGTCAATGACAGGACCTTCATCACCGAGATCGTCGAGCCAGCAGGGGTGGACTTCGGGAGGCTGTACTTCAGCCTCGCTCGGCCACCTCAGCTTCCCTTCAAGGCGGGGAAGACGAAGGCCAGCACATTGCAGCTCGAAAACCGTCTCCTCCATCACATGCTGGCCAAGTCTTACACCCCAGCCTCAGACAGTGCCAGCGCCATCACCAAGAGATCCCTGTACTTCATCCAGTCCATGCGCCAGAGGGATCATCCCCTACACTTGGGCTCGGTGGTGGCGAGGACCTTCGAGAAGAGTGCTTCTGAGCTGAAGAAACTCCACTGCACTCCCCTCATCACCTGCCTGGCAGAGTACTTCCAGATATCCCTGCAGGGGTGCACAGAGCAGGGAGAGACCACTCCCTTTGGCCGGGTTACGATCAACAAAATGCTCCTGCTTCGAGAAGAGCGAGGTGTCATGTGGATCGAGGGGTTTCCTCAACCTCAGGTCCCAGAGGCGGTCCAGCAGGAGGCTCCCGAGGGTGCAGCTGATGAGGAGGTCCAGCCGGAGGATGTAGATGATACTGCTGCTGCCCGGCCCACCACCTTCGAGTACGGGGGTGGCAGTTCCAGCTTCCCCGGCCAGGATTACTTCACCTTTCAGTTCGAGCAGCTGCGTCTCCAGAACCAGCAGATCCTCGACCATCAGATGCAATTCCAGCAGCAGTACGCGGCTCACCAGGCCGAGTACCACCAGAGGATGGTTGTTTACGATGAGATATTGGACCAGCTCCAGACCCAGCAGGGAGTGACTCTCGCACACATCGAGCGGGAGAGGCACCGCTCTCGGCGCATGCAGGAGGTACAGGGGCATCTGCTCCAGCTGCTACCGGGCGAGCAACCAGTCTGGAGGACTCCCTGGGAGGACTCCCCACTTCCACCTCCACCCGCTGATGGTGATGATGGTGCTGATGGTGATGACGCCTTCATGGACGACATCGACCTGGATAACCTCGGCGACGAGTAGGCTGTACTCGTTGCCCATCTCAGTGTGTTTTGTTTTTCGTTTTAGACTTTTGTGTGTTTGCTCCATGTGTGAGGAGCTTGAACTTAGTGTCGTTTGTTTTGGTTTTTCTTTTTTTTCTTTTGAGGATTGTTTTTGTTGTAGCTGTCTGGGCTAACACTTATCCCTAACACAACGTGTGCTAGTGTGTTCTTGGTGTTCGATTGGTACAGAACTGTCCATCTTCCCGGTTGTTTCTCGCTGACTAGTTCACTTCCAGTCCCCCGCAACATTTCAATCCGGTAACATCGTTCCCCTTCTCTATCCCTCTACTCCATTGAGGGCAATGTCGTGCTTAAGTGTGGGGGGGGGGGTGCTTTGTATCGGTTGGATTGTATATATGTGTGCTTGGAGCCTAGTCCACTGTCCAAATCTCAAGATTTGAGGGCTCCAAGTACTGCTGTTTGATCATATTGGCACTGTGTTTTGATTGGTGAATTGAATGGTTTTCGGATTGATGCATGACAGCTTGATTGTGACTAGGACAACCTATGATGAGGACTGAGACGTGCAGTAGAATTGTGTAGGGGTTCAGTTTTTCAACTGTTTGCTTACCAACTGTGACTTGGATTGATTACTTGTTCTTGACAGTCGTTTATGCATCTAGTTCAGGGTATCAGAATGTGAGATAGAGCATACAGGTAGCCATGTGAGATTTGAGCCTGCTCGTTTCTTTCTTGTGCGATAGATCCCTCTTCCATGACGTGTAGCATTCACGTTGTCACTAGCTAAGATGATGGGGGCATAGGATTAGCCCACGACCAAATTTGACTGTCCTGATGTGTCATATCCCCTAGTCAGCCCTTTTGAGCCGTGTGTTATCCTTTCTTTTGGTCTGAAATGAAAAAAATCACCCTTTTGCATCTTTTAGAAGGTTCCACAGAGTGGTTTTTACATATTCCCTGCTGTTCTGCTAAATTTGATGTGAGTGTTGGAGGTAGTGCTTAAAAGTTGGGCTGGGCATGTGTTTGAAATATGTGCGGAAGTGGTGGCTCTCTTAAGAAATGAAAAGAAAATGAAAGAAAAACAAAGAAAAATTGAAAGCAAAGAGAGCCACTACCAAAAATCTGAATAATGCCCAGTAAGTAATGTTTCTTAGCAGTCTGGCTTGGAAATGCTGACATTTATACCTCCTTCGCTCTTGTGCTCTTGAGATATTGAGTAATGCAGAATAGCAGAAAGGAAATACCGGTTTGTTTGACTGTGATTGTGTGGGTTTGGAAATGTGGAACATTGTGCTATGAATACTTCCACCACCTAAAAGGTCTTTTCCCCATGTCCAAGACCCTAGCCAGTCATTTGAACCTGTGTCTAAGACCTCCTGATTAGTTAGTGGTGACACCCCATATGTGAACTCTAGCATTTAGAGGCTGCCATCATGGTGAAGAGATGTTAGGGATTGAGAGAAATAGCATGCGCACTTTTCGCATCAAATTGTCCTGACCCCACTGGTCGAGAGTGAGTGATTCATTTTCATATTCTATATACTCTTGTACCCCGGTGAGGACCTAGATTGCTCGGTCTCTATTCTGATGTCTTGAGTTGGATGCATGAGTTGACTGTTTTGAGTAAGTGGTTGAGTCAAGTCTAGGTTGGTTGGTGAACAGAAGGGAGACACTTCCTTTACTCGATTTTGCTGCACTCGAATGTCCTTTGTAGTGGTTGTCCAAGTTGCTATTGAAGTTGGTCAGGTATTGATGTTTGAAAACCAGTACGATTCACGTGTTCTGTGCCTTTATGACTTGTCCCCAAAGTTAGTTGATTGAAATATGTGAGCTTACCTTGTGTCTGACTTGGTTTGCTTGGGGACAAGCAAACGGTTAAGTGTGGGGGAGTTTGATAGACCTTTAATTACACATGTTTTTACCCCTGTTCTTACACCGTTTGAGATGTGATTTCTCGTGTTTTAGGCCGATTTCACGCTAGGTTGTGCTTGTTTGTGATATTTCAGGTCCTAGTACGTGAATGGAGGCTTGGGAGCGAGTTTGGGGTCGATTGGATGAAGATCGGGCGCAAGGAAAGTCACAAAGGAGGCCACACGGGCACACCCACAACTCACACGGCCGTGCAAGTGACCACTTTGGCCGTGTGAGATTGTGCGAGAGCAAACACGGCTTGCCCTGATATCCACACGGTCGTGTGAAGGAGTGGTCTGGCCGTGTGAGACTGTGCGAGAGCAAACACGGGCAGGATGGAAATCACACACGGCCGTGCGACCCTGGCCGTGTGGGAAGCCTGAAGATCGAACTAATTGGAACGCAGCGTTTTGACTCACACGGGCAACTGGGTATGCCACACGGCCGTGTGGCCCAGCCCGTGTGAGTTGGGATTTCCTGGTTTTAACCCAATTTCGGGCTGCAAGAGAGGGGATCAGACTTTTTGAGCAAAAACAGAGCCCTAGAGAGAGAAAGGACGAAGAACACATCCTAGAAGCTATCTTGGAGCTGGGTTTCATCAAATCAAGCTTGGAGATCGTCATAGGAGTGGAAATCATCATCCCAGAGCAGATTCTTCCCATAAGTATGAGTATGACTGCTTTGTATCTTGTTTTCCTCTCTCTCTCTATGGAGTAGAACCCCTCTCTCACTTGGGGATGAAGAGCCCTAGTTCTATGTGTTAGGGATTGATTGTAATGACTTGAGATGATATTACTGTTTGATTTTAATCGAATGATGCATGTTTATTGAGTCAATTGAAGTCTGATCAACTTTTCCTGATTCCTGCTGGAATCTGAGATAGATAGAATCTGATTAGGTTGCTAGAGTCTCATCATTCGATAGTAGGAGATTGGCTATACGAGAGTTAGCCAGTTTACTACTTTGTACTGGAATCCAATTCCAGTAGTGGAGTTCTGTTCTTACTGCTTCAGCTTTCTATCCCGGTGAAGACTAGTCGTCTGTCGGGTAGTTAGACTGAGAGGGCTTGGTCAGCTTAAGAGATTCCAAGCTACTGTCGGATCTTCCGCAGTCTAATCAATAGTAAATCAACCCAGGGAAATACAATTGAAACTTAACTAAGGAGCTAGGGGGACTCATTCCCGAGTGACTCTTACCTGCTTGAGAAAACCGTACCAATTCCTGCTTTCTTGCTGCTTTTAGTTTAAACACAAATCACTCGACTTAGTTGGTTAGATAATAAATAATCACGGAGTAAGCAGTAGATCTAGACCCCGGGTTGATAATAGAACTTGCCTGTTACTGCATTCCCGGACTGCGATTACACTTGGTCGCAGTTTGGTGTTGTGTTTTGGCGTGTCATCCACCCACGTCGGGAATAAAAGAAATAATTAGAGAAAGTGAACTTCATAATTTTTTACAAAAAAATTTCCCCAATCCTTCTTCCGTGTGCTAATCGCCTAGTCCCTTCCCTATGAAAAAAAATCCAAGCATACTAAAATGATCCAGTCATGCAAATGAAGAAGGGTGGTAAATTGCATGCAAGTAAAATTTAAAGATTGAGTTATCTAATCAAATCGTAATCAACCACCCCTTTTTCCATCATTCGCAAGCTCTAACATATAAGTGACAAAGAAATCCACAATATCGCTTCACTGTAACAATACAGTATTATTGAAGATTGGTGGCTTTTTCTTCTTCTTCGTTAAACTAGCGTAGAAGATATACAAAAAGGGGGTTTAAACAAGTGATAAGAGAAGGAAGATTAAGAAATGAAAAATAGAGACCGAGAGGGGGAGTTGAAATTGAGAGAGAGAAGTGGCTACCGACGATGGGGAGAAGTGACTACCGACGACGATAATATTGACATTGAGAGAGAGAAGTGAACCATGAGCCGGTGAGCACTAAGCAACTTTTTGTAGGGAATATAGGGTTTTCTTTAAACCTTTTTATTTCTCGGTGTTGGTAAGATATATATGAAAGGGAAAAAACAATACTAATTTTTTATTGCTAAAAATAAAAAATTTAACAATAAACTAATGCATGGATTCTAATGGGCTAACCGCTAACCATAGGATAAAAGAGTTGAATGGACTTGACCCATACGGGATTTGGCCATCAAGTAAAACTAATGAACATCATGGGGTTGCCATCCTAAAACATGCTATTTTCTCTATCATAACATATATTATGCTATTATTTTATAACTTAGTGGCTAACATATAATGTATCTTAAAGTTATTAAATGGTTCGACCTCAACCAACTAGATTAGTCCAATATTTATAATTTCAAATGTATATTATGTCATTATTTGATATTCTAATAATTAAATTATAGTGTATTTTATAGGCGAATTTTTATCCGGTTTTCTGGAATTCGGTTTCTATCAAACTTACTCCACCTCATCATATTACCAGAAATAATAATGTTTCATAAGGTAACAGGTACTCGAACTTGGTTCATAAGACTGATTGTTGATTCGTTGCATCATCAATGTCTCTTTCTTGCTAAAATTCACTATCTTTATCACGTGTTTTCAAAAAAAACTTACAACAATAAACTACACACCCCATTACCTTCTAAAATTTCATACCCAAGCTAGTGATTAATAGGAGGGTTGAAAAAGTCGTTAAGACCAATGACATTGGTCTCCGTGATGCGCATTGGCCACCGCAGTGGCATCTAATTGCATTTTTCTTCGCAGATTAACCCTAATCTCACCTTCCTAAACAAACCAACTTGGCTCCCCAAGAAGGAAAGGAAATGGCTTCTGTATCTTTGTTCAGCGTCGGCAAAACTGTTCTTGAGAAGCTGGGTCCTCTTGTTCAACAGGAGGTTGCACTGCTGTGGAACCTTCGAACCGAACTCAAGAAGCTGGAAGCCACAGTGACAGCCATTCAGGCGCTTCTGCTTGACGCAGAGGAGCAGCAGGCACACCGTCACCAGGTCAAAGATTGGCTCGAGAAGCTTTCGGTCTTATTATACGATGCAGAGGATCTACTTGATGATGTAGCTACTGAAGCTCTCAGAAAGGAAGCGCGTGGTGATGATCATGATTACTGCAGCAGCAGGATCCAATGCTGGAGTGCGGTATGCTTTCTTTTCATCACCCTTCCGAACAGCTTGCTTTATGGTCTTAAAATGGCTCGCAGAGTCAAGAGTCTTAGGGAGCAGTTGGATGCCATACATGCTGATAACACCACATTGCACCTAAATCCTCGTTTTGAAGAGAAAGGTAAAATGAAGAAGCATTCCCATTCCATTTCTTCCATCCCCGACATATTCGTCGGTAGAGACGATGACTTGGAGCAGATGAAGGAACTTCTTCTGCTGCCTGATAATTATAGTATTAGTAGTCGTAATGTCTCTGTGGTTTCCGTAGTTGGGATGGGAGGGATGGGTAAAACCGCACTTGCTCAGCTCATCTACAACGATAGGCAAGTCAAGGAGCATTTTAAGTTGAGGTTGTGGGCATGTGCGTCGGGCTCCTTCGAGATCGAAGTGATCCTCCAAAAGATTCTAGAGTTAGCCACTGGAGAGAAGAGACAGGATCTTCAGCTTGAGACACTGATAAATCTCCTTTTGGGACACATCAGTGAGAAAAGGTACTTCCTTGTGCTTGATGATATATGGAACTTTAGTTTAGAGGAGTGGGATAAGTTGAGATCTGTGCTCAAGGGTGGTGCTGTTGGAAGCAAGATCTTGGTCACCACTCGGTTTGAAAAGTTTGCAAGGATTATGAGCCGTGGTTCTTCTCAGCCACCCTATGTCTTGAGAGGTCTATCTTCCCCACAGTCATGGTCATTGTTTTGGCAAGTTGTATGCGTCACTGAACACCAATTAGCTGATAAGGAGGAACCACTTAACATAGCTAGTGCGGAAGAGATTCAAGTTGAGATCTTTAAGAAGTCTATGGGGGTACCGTTAGCTGTGAAAACGATAGCAAACGTGTTGTCTTTTAAAGATCCTCAAACTGAGTGGTTGTCCATCCTTAGATCTGATAAACTTTTAGTTGCTGAACATGAGGATGGCATACTCAATAACTTAAAGCTGAGCTATGACTATCTTCCCTCCCATTTGAAACATTGCTTTGCAGTTTGTAGTCTGTTTCCCAAAAATTACGAGATTCCTGTTGAACACCTCATCGGTATTTGGGTCGTACTAGGGATTATTAATTCATCAACACCTAATGATTCTCAACAAAGTTTAGTTGATTTGGGTCTCCAATGTTTCATGGATTTGGCATGGAGGTCATTTTTTAAAGATATAAAACGAGACTTTTCTAAGAACTTAAGCTCTTGTAAAATGCATGATTTGATACATGACCTTGCAGCCTCAGTAGTTGGGTCTAGTTTTAAGCAAATAGATGATCCAAAGGATGAAATCAGTGAAAATACTTATCATATCTCATTGAACCACGGTCTGTGGTACCCTTCAAAACTAGTAGCCCACCTGAGTAGAGCCAAACGGCTGAGAACGTTTTGTGCCCAGTATTTGAATTGGTACCATTTGGGCACGAGTTGGGATGGCTCCACTTTCAAAGCATTTGTTTCAAATTTTGGGAGTTTACGGGTACTTGATTTTATGAACTGCGGGATGGAAATGGTGCCCCATCACATCCAAGTATTAAAACATCTCAGATATTTGTGTCTTGCACACAACGAGCAGATGACCAAGCTACCAAATTCCATCACAACGCTTGTAAACTTACAAGTGCTTATACTTTCTCACTGCAAAAGCCTCCAAGAGTTGCCAAAAGATATTAGCAAACTCGTAAACCTATGGGTCCTTGATTGCAACAACTGTTGGTCCTTAACCCATATGCCAGCTGGGCTAGGTGAACTGACTCGTCTTCAAACATTGCCATGGTTTGTGTTGGGGAAGGATAGTTCCTCTTCTAAGCATGTAGGTGGGTTGAATGAACTGAGTAGGCTTCACAACTTGAGAGGAGCACTCGAGATAGTGAATCTGGGACGACTTCGGGGAAGAACAATATCGTCATCACCACCGTCACTGGCATCTAAGATTGGAGCCGCCGCAAATTTGAAGGGGATGCCCCACCTTGATTCGTTGTTACTACCTTATGAGGAAAAAGAAGACAGCAGAGGAGAAGAATGCTTGAAGGGATCAAAGGAAGATGTTGAATGGGATGAAACCTTACTGGAAAGCCTACAGCCCCACTCGAACCTACGAACTTTCATGATGTCTGGATACAGAGGAGGGAGATCTCCTAGTTGGATCTCTACTCTCACTAACCTAGTCACCTTCACTTTAGGAAATTCTAAATTGCATCATGGTTTGCACCATTTGCAAGGATTACCAAACCTTCAAAAGCTTTGCTTGGCTAGATTGATTGAGTTAGACTACATGGATGAATATGAAGAAGAACCAGAAGACGGCAGAAGCTTACTCAAACCATTCTTCCCTTCACTAGAGGAACTACAATTGATTTGTTGTCACAAGCTAAAAGGGTGGCGAAGGAAGTCATCCCAATTCCCTAAACTTTCTACACTGCTGGTACAGTGTTGCCCTCTCCTGACATCGATGCCATTATTCCCAACACTTGACAAGGAGCTAAAATTGGAGGCCACTAGCCTATTACCCTTTCTATGCACAATGAACAACTCTGTGTCGTCATCAGGACATACTGCACCATCGAGTTCATCATCAGCACCACATCCTCTGTCCAGACTGAAGAAATTGCATATCTTTAACATTCATCATCCTCCGACAGAGTGGCTGCAGGGTATGCAACACCTCTCTTTTTTGCAAGAGATTGTGATCAACAACGTTTCAGGGCTGAAGGCAACTTTGGATTGGCACAACATCTGCCACGTTTCCAGTATCAAAATTGATGAATGCTACCTTAAACGAGATGGCGAGTTTGTATTAGATACCAGCTTCTCCCGAAGAATAAAGGTCGGAAACAAAGTTCCTTTTTGCCTCGTATGTGTAAATTTTTATTCAAGTATTTTATGAATGACACTAAAAATTCATATTTCTTCATTCAGGCAATCTTTAAGGCAGTGGCGAAAGGGAACGCCAGGCAGTTTCCAAGGTTCATTGTGATTAGTTTTTGTCATTTTTGAGTGTGTGATTATCTTCTCTGCCTGACTGAGTTTACTTATGCATGCTCACGTTTGAGATCAAGTTGAACATATTGTGCGCATCAACTCATCACATCACCTAACTATTTGTTGTGAGATGCCATCTTTTCCGTTTCTTTTATTGTTTTTATCTGTCTATGCTTGACTGAGTTTACTTATGTGGGCTCGTGTTTGAGATGGAGTTAAGCATATTATACACTTGAACTCATCAAAGCACCCCAACTATTTGTTGAGAGACACAATCTCTTCCTTTTTCTTTTTTTCTTTTTTTCAGATGGAGTATCCAGGAAATGGATTCGGTGAAGAAATGAGCTTTCGTGTGAGCTCTCACAGAACCTCCGACTGCAAAGAGGATTCCATCTGATTTCAGTGGTATGATGACTTATTACCGCCGTGAAAGCTTGAATGTTGGATCTCCCTCGTCAATACAGAAACCAAAACGCATATCCAGGTAATGCTTGATGGGTTCATTCATCATCTCTCATATACTTTAAATAATTCACAGAAACGGCCAAGGATCCTGTCAGCTGTTTTCTAAAAATATTAATGGACGAAGTATCCTATATGGCTTCGGCAAAAGTATTTTTCAGCAGTTTCTAGAGCCCAGCTCTGCCGTCAAATGCCTATGTCAGTGATCCATGTCCTCTGTTCATCTCATCGTCCCCTGCACCATTATGTCTTCCTTCACTGAATTAAAAGAATTATGTAATGATGCACCAGATGATGACGAGACAACAATGATGGACTGTCTCTCTTTTATCATAGTAACACATTCAAAGAGTGATAAGTCTGCTTGACTATGAATTCTGGGAATGCAAATATATGTTCTATGGTGTTACTGATCCTTGCTAGGACTATGAATAGCATCACCCTCAAGTTCTTTGTAACTGGATGATCGAATCATTTTCCACTAGACTGACGGACCACCTGTGTTTCAAATGCTCTGCTGACCTTCGATCTCCACCTTATCCAACTCCACCATACAAATTGTTAGTATGTCTGTCTGCCTCTCGCAGTCAGCCTATTTAGACACTATGTATGGTTTCGACTTCTAACGGCTGGTTAGTTGTTCTTGTTTGATGGTACAGGAGTATCATTGCTTAGTCGATGTGGCATCCCAAAACAGTTCAATACTACGAAGCAACCTGGTATATTTTTTTCGGCTTTTCGCTTGTTACGCTGATGCAATGCATCCCAATTTCCAAGTTCTAACCCATACATAACCCAATTATTTTTCAGGAAGGAGATAGACTCACAGTGGACTTGGAGTATGTCTCAGGCGGTTCTTCGATTACCAAACTGCTAGATGAATATGTCCCGTTTGCACAACCTGTAATCCGCACCTACGCTGAGCAGATTATACAAGGGTTGGCTTACCTGCGCCGAAGAAAATCAAGCTCACAGGTTTCTCCAAATTGCAATCCAATAAACGTATCACCATAGGAAACTAATTACTCTATCAATGGATTTTTCTGAAAGTGTTTCTTCCTTGTTCTGCTGCGGGGAGAGGCATCCTGACTCCTGAGATCCCAAGCTATCTAGTATATCAAGACTGGAAGCATTTCGTGCGACATTGCCTGCAGAGAAATCCATCTGCCAGGCCTACAGCCGCTGAACTGCTACGTCGCCCTTTCGTTCAGAATCGGAAGTACAGTAGGAGACGATGCGAGCGCCTGTTCTGTAGTTCTGAACAGTATTATGATGAATTTGAGATGAACCGCTTTTGATCGAGCTATAACAATGCAAATGATGAGCTGTTCTGTAGCCAGATTGTGCAATGTCATATAGAGGCGGAGCTCAGATTTGGAAATCGAGACTTGGAGTTTCTTAGTGTATTATTACAGAGGCGGAGCTAAGATTTATTATTTGTAAATGCACGTGACGTTAGTTGAGATAATTAGAATCATTCAAAATAAAATCCAAACTAAAGTTTTTACTATATTATGTTCAACGAGTAACTACGTATAAGCTCCCTTCATGGCATCCGATAAAATTTGAATGGTACGGAGAAAATTAGCATGACCCTTGTTCAAAAATGACAAGCATAAATCGTGTAACTACATATAAAAAGTTAATAATAAATCATTCATTTTAATGCGTAGTATTATCTTTGATATTTTAATACCCCCAAAAATGAATGCTCATAGTGTTTGAAAAAAAATCAATCAATTATATCAAAGCCCTTGGTTTGCATATTTAAGAACTTAACTAGTTAAATGGTCTGCGCTTTGCGGCGGGAGACTAATTTGTATGAATATTCTTATTTTAAGGTTTTATAAATTTTGTTACTTGAAGGTTAAAACATCTAGAAAGCTTTGACTCTGATAATTACAACTTTCAATGGGTGTTGCCAAACTTAAAAGCATGTTGCTTTGATAAAACAAAAACATGTTTCTTCATCAGCTAATCTTCACTTATAAATAACTTGGTCAAATTTGAAAACATGTTATATTATTAACTAAATGTCTAATTGAATGATTGACAATTTGCTTCGAAAAACATATTATGCAGTTATTTTAGGGATATCGTTCTTAAGACTAATTAATTAATTCAGTCTACGAGAGGAGAAATTTTCTTAATTAGTTACTACGTGGTAATTCTCGATAGAGATAGCTATCAATTTAGAGGTATCCCGACTATAAAAATATGAATTAAATTGATTGACAAGAGCAATTAAATTTATCGAGGTAAATAGCAAAATCTTGTGTTTTCCCCATAACTCTTCAAAGTTAATTTCTCCAAAACATTTCATTTTCTGAATTTGTTAATTTCCGTATTTCTTCAACTCATCACTTGATTACAACATTTGAAATTCCTATAGTTTCTTAAACTAAATTTGTTAATTATTGAATTTCACCAATCTCCTAGAGAACGACAATTTTACTTACACTTCATTACTTGTACGACATTGTGCACTTGCAGTTTTGTCACGACCAATTAACAAGACTCACCTGAATAGGTAATGAGAAATTAGTAGAGTAGAAGATGAAAATAATTTGAGAAGAATCAAATAGTAAACAAATAATAGAGTAAACTAAATTAGATAGGAGAAACTGATAATTTTTTAGTCTAAAGTTAAGTATGGTACAAACTATTTATAATTGATTTATTTCATTTTTTCCTTTCTACTATTGGTGGCTTGTATCTAATTATTCTGGTCGACGTTAATAAATCAAAGCAAATTATTTAATTAACTTAGCATTAGTGCCTTCTTAGTACAAACAGGTTAATTTACGAAATTGAAAATATTTTCCCACTTGGAAAGGTGATAACGAAGAAAGTTAAAGCAATAAATTCAATAATGCTAATATTGAGGCAGCAACAATCTTACATTTTTATTCTATTTTTAGAAACACACGACAAAGAATGAGTTATATTATATGGTTTGAAAAAATCTAATAAGAAAGCAAATATTCCCCTCATGTAATCCGTTCATTCTTTTAGCATTCAAAGTTAATTTTCGTTTTAGACCCATAATCAAAACTCAATTTATAAATTTTCCATTCATGATCGAAACCAATAACCCGTAATAATAATTAGTCATATACTGATATACACGATGAAGATATAGAGGCTGTGTGTCGGAGGGCCTGCCGACACACCTGCCGGCCCTGAGGATTCCACCTACAAACTTGATTCTTCCAATAGCTTTTGTCAACCACCAAACATGGGTTCTGCAAACTCATAGCCGACTTTGAGGTTCTTTCTTGTTCTGTGCAGTGACACGGGACAGACGTAATAAGCTAATGGCTAATACACAGGCGACTGTACCCTGAGTCCTATCAATATAAGAAGCCTCTCGGGTTACAAAAACAGAACAAATATTTCCCAACTACTACAAACTCAAAACGAGTAATCTTTCAAATCAGATTTAGAGTCACCCAAGTTCACATCAGCAGAGCACTCATCTGCTGTGAGAGGTGGCAGATTACGTGTCTTCCGCTTCAAGTTATGTTTGTGCCAGTCGCTCTTGAAGTGTTCCCTGTACTCCTTAGCATCCCCCACGACTGCACTGCACGTGCTGCACTGATTCTGCTTTGCCTCGACTTTCTTTGGTGCTGCGGAGGAGATGGTCTGTTTCTGAATTTTTTCAGAGAGTTGAGCAATGGTGTCGGCGGAGCCCTTGGTGGGGAGGGATGGTTGCAGGTCTACATGATCGGCAATGTCGTCCACATGTGTGTCCCCCTCGAAATGAACGGACACTGCTAGAATTTCCATTCGGCCTTGAAGATTCCTGACCAAGATGTCACAGTCTCGGAAGAAACCTGGCTCGATTTCACAAACCTGGGCCATATTTGATGATAAGATAGAAAACCACATAACCATCTCCAAGAAAATGCCATTGAAGCAATGTCCATCACCGAAATTGGATTCCACATTCATAAAAAATCAGTGGACTAATAGAACATGAGTGACAAACAATCACATACATAAAATAAATGGGCTCATTCTTGTCTCTCAATCAGTGGACTATAGAACATGAGTGACAAACAGTCAAATAAAACTGCGACTGTTCCCAGTAAGAGGCAGTGAGTAACTGAAGGCTCAAAGTAGGTGCAAAAAGAGTATAAATTATCAACAGTTCACCATATGGAGAGACTTACAAAAGACAGCTGACTTCCAGAAGAATCCCTTGCAGTTATGGTAGCTTCCCAAGCATTCAGCTTTTCAACAAGTGAAGAAGAAGTGTTTTCAGGAACAGTGAGACGTATTCTCATTGGCGCTCTCTTGATGGGGAATTGCTTTTGAAGCTCGCGAATAACTTCTAGTGCCTACACAAGACATCCAATTACACAGAGGTTGTAATATCTTTGACATATGCTTAAATCAACTCATTCAAAGAGGACGGCCATAGATACCAAAAGACAGAAAGTAGATTCGGCAACTATGCAATTCCATTTCCTCTGAAATCACCACTAAATGAAAGCATAACTTGTGCCATTATCCACCTTAGTATCTACCAAAAGATAAAATTGAATTGCTTCTTCTTGCATAAACCATGCAAGACAAGGCATAGAGTTCTATAGTAGCGGAAGCAAATGATCAAACCTGCTTCTTGGAGCTGCTATGTGGATCAACAGCAAAGTGGATTTCATGCATCAATCGTTCAATCATGCTGATAGTGTAAGGCCGCTGAGTTTCGGGATTTATCGTCTTCTGCATTACAATCGTTGCGATATCCCGAAACTGACTGGACAACTGTGATTCCCTCTCCTTCCCTGCAACTTGAAGCTCCCCTTTGTTCAGAATCTACAGCCACCACCCCCACAACCAAGCAACAATTGAACAAAAAATGGAGTCTCTAATAAACGCAATTTCAGGAAACCGAATTACGCGAATTTTTTTTTTTTTTGTGAGGAAAGCAGCAGCTTCACACCTCCAAACAGATTTTCGACTGGTCATCTGTCCCAAACGCAGCGATCAATTCTTTGGACTTGGCAAGAACTCCCTTGGAAACATTAGAATAAACCGTTTGCGACTGCAATACTTCATCCAAATCTTTCTCTCTGTTTCAAAACAATCACCAGGAAATTGAGAAGACCTTCACAAGACAACAACGGGGAAACAGATGGAAAGACGGAAAGCGATTCAAGTTATTCAACTACTACTCACACGCCAGACCGCCATGAAAGGACCTTGTTCGGGTAGCAAGCAATCTCGAAACGATTCCCGTGCTTTTTCAAACGAACCACCGCCACGTTCGTCAGCCTCTTCTGGCCTATTGGCTGCAGCAGCTTCTTCGACATCTCTCGGTCGCCACTCTCTTCCTCACACCGTCGTGCTAACAGAAGAAAAACCGGTGGGGTGAAGCTTCTGAGCGCAGATTCTCGAAAAGTTTTAATATTTTTTATGCTCATTTTCTCTAGGCTTAAAAGCGGCGTCCTTGATTTTGTGCAAGGGCCAAAGTGAGCCCATTTTATATTTGGACTGGGCTTAAAATAGACCCATAATGGAGGTGTCGTTTTGCTTTTATTTCCGGGTATTACCGGAGCAACGGAAGAACAACCAAATATGTCGTCGCCGGAGCACCGAAGCGAGGCCGTGGCTGCAAAGAAGGAAGAGGTCACCGACGACGGCGGCGAAAACAACGAAGCATCCATCAGCAACCGATACTTCGACATCTATGGACCTCAAGTATTGCCTTTCCTTTCTTACTTCTTCCCTTCTCATTCATTGTTCTGATAGAAAGCTCTTCCAGTTATACCTGCTATTTGCGAGTTTGTTTGTACTGCGATACTCTTTTATCATTGTGGGAGTGAAGAAGTAGTGCAGAGAGTTTGGGAATTTGGGGTTTTATTGTATGCGATTGGGCTGGGGATTCTATTTCCAGGCTCTTATTCTTTTAGGTCTTTTCATGCTTTAAATTGGTTAGTAATGGGTGGTTATAATTATATTTGATTAGCTGAATATTTCACTTGCTGCTTTCACGGTTGGCAGTAGATTTTCTGGCTTTGCGTTCGCTACTGAGCTATGGGGAAAGGATTTTCTCTGAATGACATTGAATTAAAGAAAGATACAACGTTGTGGTGCCTTGCACAGGATAATGATTGCTTACTACTGTTTCCCAACCGTATTGTTTGAGGTTTTCTCATCGGGATACACTTATGTTGATTTTGTTTTTCAGGTGAAGCCAGAAATTGCTTTCAAGACTCCAGAAGCTAGCTTGAAACTGAATCTGCAGGTAGGTCATACAGTAATCTGTATTTAATCTCTATGAAAGAGAGGCGTTGTGATGGGAATTTATGTTGATGTTTGGTGATAGTTAGTAAATACTCCGTTTAATACACGTACATGTACCCGTACGTATTTTATCCGTTTAAAACTTCCGTATACGTATTATTGTCAAACCGTTTTATTTTTTTCCGTTCATTTGATGGCTCCCGTACTAAACACGTATAAAACCCGTATAACACGTTTAATATCTGTATTTAATGAATTAAATTGTGAACTTTACTATTATTTATATATTTATTTATTTTTAAAATAATTTATTTTTATATATTTATGACTATTAACGTACTATTAAACGTAACAATAGCTTACGGACAACGTAAAATACCCGTACATATTTTTTACGTAACTTTCCCGTACCGTATTTTACTAACTATACTTTGGTCACTATTCACTAATGCTATATTTCCCTAAATAGGATATTCAAGGACTTGTGACCTGGGTGCTTGCTGAAGGGTTCATGCCTTCTTGGGTGTTTATTAAGGTAAGGAACTTATTGGCCTCCCTTTGGAAAAATGTAAATAAGTTAATATATGACCATGGTTAAGGTGCTTATCGAGCAAATCAGTCTGCAATAACTCAATAACTCAAAGATTAAGGTTGGAACTCTGAAAAGGAAAATGGAAGGATAATCTCAAGGTTATGTGGCTGTCTATTTGGGGCCTGATGACTTCTTGTGTGTCACCATTTTCTGGTGAAAGACTACTTCTCCTCAATACTCATTTAGCTGCCTTCTATGCCATTTGTTGAAATGCATTTTCAGATCCATCCATAGCATGTTGATTTTCCCTGACCCATTTTCTCAGCATTTCTGAAGTTTCATCCTTGCCCTCATAAGCTGAGTTTCAATTCTGTAGTTTGAGTGAATAAATAATGTTTTCATATTACAGAACAAGCCTCTTATTCCAAAAGTGGTTATGGCTTATGTGCCTGGCCTAGATGCAGCTTTGTACTTATCGAAGCCCAAGTTGTTCGCTGGTTTTAAAGAATGCTGTGGTAAACCAAAGGCACAGTTAGCTATTAGGTCGGTAATGATTCTTCACTTCTCTATTTTCTTTCTGGCTCTATCATTACTGATGGTTATTATTCTGCAACATTCAACCTTACAGAATTGGGTCATCTTTTTCTCTTTGCTAGCTGTGTAACAGATCGAACGCAGACAATAGATGCTCTTCTAACATGCAAGTCGAAACGAAAGAGAGATGAAGTTGATTCAGGTGCAAAGAAACCTGCCCCAGCTTCTGAACAAGGTGGTCGAGATAGTGTTCATTGTGTTACAAATTTTTTTTTTTTTTCATGAGCATGCTTGTTATATTCGGGCATCATTCTCTATCTTAGCCGTTTTTTGGTAGTCTTTAGCTGAACATGGGCGGTGTAGAAATTCTCAAGCAATTTGGTTGTTGCTATATGCTTACATCATATATATCCCTATCTGTATGTCTTACAATCTGTATACATGTGTGATCTGTGTCTGTGTTAGGGGAGAGAGAGAAAGATAAAATTAGAGGACAGATTTGACATCAGATGTGTCCTCCAAATGTGATATGTTAAATAACTTATTTCGAAAGACTTCTGAATTTTGCTTCTCATATGGATTTATGTATCATTACGTTGCAGAGAGGAGTGCTTCAGGCCTTGAAATTTTTTCTTTGTCAGAGCTTGTGAAAGGGGTACCTTTCCCCCCGGCATATTATACATTGACATCTGAACAACTAGAGACCAATGGGTATTGTCTTGACCAACCAGGTAAGTTCCAGGGTGTTGTTTCCTTATTTTGTTGCTTTCTTCATATTGATGTCCTTAACTTTATCCTTCTAGCATCTGTAATTTTTTGTTCCAACTCTTCTTCTTTTCTAGGCTTTCTCTCTACCCTTCCTACTCCTGGTAGCTCTCCTCTACATGATATCCTGGCACTTGACTGTGAAATGGTAAGATGCGACTTATGCTGAAAGTTAAGAAACTGTTTGGACTGAAATTAACTAATCAGAGCATGCATTATGAACTAGATGTGGCTGTGAGATGGTGGTAAATAATGAAGAACGAAACCATAAGAGGCAACTGTCTGCTATTTTGCTAAATTCAGATGAACTGCTTTCATACGGAATTTCTCAATGCACTGATGAAATGTTGATTAGGAAAGCTATTTGACTGGGAGAACTTCGGACTTCACTAGACACTCATTATCCTTTTATTGGGCATTTCAAGGTTCAGCTAGTTTTTCAGTACTGTAAAACCATATGTTTATCATATCATAGTCATTCTAATTTCATACAAAAAAGAATCTTCCTGCTTAAATATTCATCAAGTTTGTTAGTATTTCACTTAAGACTGAACATTTTTGCTTGGCGAATTACTTAACACGACTTTCAATTAACTTCTTCATTCTCTATTGACAGTGTGTCACCAAAGATGGTTTTGAGCTAACAAGAATAACCCTGGTGGATGTAGCAGGACAGGTATGTTATCCAGAATTATACGTCTCGTGTCATTGGACATGCTCTTTGTTTGATATTCTTTTTAATGGTTTAAAATGAAATGAATACTTCTGTTGAAGATGCGATCATGCCTCCTATTGTCCCTTTTAAGTTGGCTTAGAAATTAGGGGATGCGAACTCAGCATGTTATGGTTGTCAAATGTTCAAGTTTCACAATGCTGTTATATTGTAACTGGTGCTGCTTATTTTCTATTGCTTTGAGCAGGAAATTTTTTGACGTCCGATTATGGTTTATACAGTTCTCTAATCATTTTAATTTAATGTCCCCTGATTTTGAGTTGCCTTTTCCAGAAATAAATCTCGCTCTTTTTTTTTTTTTTTTTTTGCTGCTGGAAAATTTATTTATCCTTGTCTCGACCTTGCAGGTATTGTTGGATAAATTGGTCAAACCAGTTAATGATATTGTTGATTACAATACAAGGTAAGTTTTCTTAACCTGGCTTTTACCTTTACTTGCATCTGAGATGTGTATAACTGTGTTTCTGCCCTGTCTGCTTTTTCTAATCTGCGGAACGGTCCTGGTGGTTTCAAAATCGTCAAGATTGTTAATGTACTAGTTTTACAATCAACCTTATTTATATATTTTACGTATTTCAAATGTGGGCATTCTGATAATGCATATTCCCTTTAATGCTCTTGTATACAGAGAAACACTGTGACATCTTCAATTACTCTTAAAATGTATGTGCTTAGAATAATTTCTGTCACCTATAGAGCACTTATTTCTATGATTAACTGAAAGTAACAAGGTTGTATTCATTACTCTTATGCAGATTCAGTGGAATTACAAGTGAAATGCTGAATGAGGTGACCACGACTCTTAAAGATGTTCAGGTTTGTCATGTGATGTTTGTTCTTCTTTGGAATGTGATTCTTTTTCAGGTAAACTTCGCTTATTTAGTTGCCATTTCTATATCTCTATTCATCAGGATGATTTTCTTAATCTGGTTAACCAAGAAACCATCCTCGTCGGTCATTCCCTTGAGAATGATTTATTAGCTTTAAAGATCTCTCACAAATTGGTGATCGATACTGCTGTGCTATACAAACATCCACGAGGTGGCTCTTATAAAACTGCCCTTCGAATTCTTGCCAAGAAATTCCTCTCCAGGGAGATACAACAATCTGGTGCTGGACATGACAGCATTGAAGATGCAAGAGCTGCATTGGAACTTGCATTGCTAAAGATAAAAAATGGTGGGTCTCCTTCCAACTATTCTTGCTTTGGTGTCTTTGTGTAGTCTTTCCTGACTTTTTTCCTGGATCTTTACTAGGACCCGATTTCGGTTCTCCATCTTTTACGCGGAAAAAGCTCCTCTCAACGCTGGCCGAGTGTGGCAAAACCGCCTCCATAATCGATGATATCTCCATAGTAAAGCGCTACTCTTCCGAGTCATCCAATGCTTTTGCTGTATGTTCAGATGATGAAGCCCTTATGAAAGCCAAAAAGGAGGTAAATTGATAATTGAGCGCAAGCGAACCTCTCCTGTTATTGGAGATTTTAGTTAAACTGAGTGGTGTGTGCCTGTAGGTGAAGAACGACCGGACACATTTCATCTGGACCCAATTCTCGGAGTTGAATTCGTTTTACGAAAATCAAGCGGAGGATGAAGAGAAATTGAATGGAAAGCTTGCTGAGATGCTATCGCTGCTTACGTGTGAGAAAAAGTCTGACAATAAGAAAGGCATTCATTGTGGGATGACAACTGAGTTGAAGGACATCATAACTCGCTTGAATGGAAGGATTCGTGGGCTGTATGCAGCTTTACCCACTAATACCATGCTCATCATTTGCACTGGCCATGGAGATACTGCCATCGTCCGTAAGTGAGTAGTTCATCAGATTTTATTTCAAACATCAGTTCTTTCACATAACTTCTCAATCAATTGATATCGGGCCTTGTTTCTTCTGTCGTTTATTGAAGACTGAGGAAGATGTTGTTGGACCAAAGCGAGACGAATATGAGTAGGGAGAGCATTCTGAAGGTCTTGGAAGAGCTTCAAGCCCAAGCAGAAGTAGCTTTGTGTTTCCTAGGCTTGAAGGACTAGCAAGTTTCTTGCCCTGTCATGAGTTGGATGGGTACCATGGGAAGTTGATGGAACTTCAAGTTTTGTTCGTATGTAAAGTTGCCAGCCAGGCAGTGAAAACAAGTTCTATTACCAGATTGTTATGTAACATTATAATCAGATGCAATCGTATGAAAATTGGAAAGAATTTTACAATTTGATTTTATGATTCTTTAACTGTGTTGACTCCCATGAAATTAACAGTTCCAACAGTTAAGCATTTCGTCTATTATATTTTAAATTTTAATACCTAAACTTTTCAGTTATTAACAGTCTTCTTCTTAACGGTTGGCGATAAACCAACGAACCTATTTTCATAAACCCATTCGTCAATCATCATCTCCATGTTATCAGAAACGTATCAGACACTAACCCGTAAATCGTAACACAAAAGAGGTTCGATCGAAGATCACGTGTTAAGAATCCGGTCAAATCCATATACATAAACTGGCCTCTACAGCAGAACCAACATGCATAAGATGAAATAGAGACAGTGCAGGGCCTCATAGACACCAACTAACAAGCAAGAAGTTGAGTCCAAAATGGTCAGAGACATGGGTTCCATGGAAAATACTAGATATATCACAGAGGATCTACATGGTAGGTGTTTGAGGAAAGAAAAGAAGAACCAAATTATGTCGCACCACACGCAGAAGAATGAGGCCAACAAGGTCTGAAGTAAGGCACTACTTTGCTGAAATCCCACATTATGGAAGACCCACGTCCATGATAAGAAACAGGCTCTACTGTTTCCGTTCCACGATGATATATAAATATCTCGGAACCAGACCTGATGTAGACAGAATCTGAGTCCTTTGGGTAGAAGGACAATATCTGAGTTTCTTTATCGAACCTGCAACCTCCTGTCGCCACCATTCTTAAGTTCCTCCTCCACATCGTCTTGAATTTCAACCTGTACCTCAGGTTCCAATTGCTCGAAGAAATGCCTTGGTCACTACTCTTGAGAACCCATATCTCCATGCCCGACTCATTGCTCCACCCATATTGCACAAGTCCATCACAGGACTCCCCTAGAGCACGCTCCTCATAATCATTTGAACCAGGAAGTTTAATCACCTCTATGCGCCTCTCGTCACTTTGTGCATCATATATCGCCAGATTTCCCATGGCTGCATACCAGTGAACAACCCCTCTAACTACAGTGCCTGCCATCCAAGGGCACAATGCTAAGGATGAAGAACAAGTGAGTATGGAGTAGTACCATGTCTTCGTCTTGGAATGGTAAGTCTCAATGCTGACCGTTTTGATATCATCGATTATACACTCACATTTAGCACGGATGACTTTGTAGCACATATCCTCAATGGGATAACCATCCACAAGAAATGCCATGCACAGCTCTTCGAAATAAACCCTGGGACGTGGCAGTTTCTGATGTTTGTTGGTTATTGGGTTCCAAACGGAATATGATTTTGGATGGCGCCCACCGAGAAGAAGGCCATTGGAAGAGTCGATTAAGTAACCAAGTTGTTTGAGGATGCCAGAGAATGATAAGTCATCACCTTCCTTGCAAGTTGGTAGTAGAGGAAGAGCAGGTTCGGATTTTGGCCTACGTTGCCCATCTTTCGGTCTCTTGAGATACAAATTGTTGGAAACGAAGAAACCCAGCAACCTAAAACTCACTGGCCATCGGTTCAGGTAAAACTGAAGAAAACCAGAGCTGCAGATGAATCGAAGCCACCTCTTCGATACGAGCAATGATCTGAAGACTTCTGCTGGAGGTAGCCGAATTAGTATCTCACATAAGACATCATCGGAGCTTAATGCGGCACCAACACTATCAACAACCAACATCTTTCTCTTCTGTGGAGGGGTCATCTAATAAAAATCAAACAAGCAATAATGTATCAGTCAACGACAGAATGCAGAAACACATTAGCAGATTTATAATCGCAAGGTTAGAACCACAGGTAAAAACTTAGATCTTTTGTTTCCAAAGGGAAAGAATGTCCTTGGGTAATCAATGTAGATAACCACAGACAAATGATTCGTTATTGAATCACCTTGACCCATGACATCATTTCCTATTGCTACATGAACTGCCTCAAAATAAATGCTGCAGCAAATAAGCAAGCAAAGAAATAAACATAGCTTCTAAACAAAGTGCATTCTATCATGGTACCAAGAACTTAATTTGTTGAAGTTTGAAGAGAAAAGATGAACATAACGCTAGCAAGAGATTTACTGTAATGCAAATCTAAAGTCCCCTCTCTTTGTAACAAGAAAACTTGGAAGCATTAATGGTTAACAAGAAAATGAGGAGCATGCGTCGAAACCCAGAATAGCAAACAAAAGAGTTCACCCAAAGTAACCCCATAGCTATTCAGAGGGAAAAGATCAGCATCGAAACCCATTCCAGGAAAAGCAAGAGTTGTCTTCCCAAAGAAGAAATGGGTGAAGAGCATTCACAGAACACAATAGCATTATTTTTCAAACCGAGAAAATGCGACCTTTATCGCGTAAAATCCCGAAACATATATTCCACGACGAAACCCAGAAACTGGTTCTCGGTAATCTAGCAGTGCAGAGTGAACAAACGCCATAAAACAAGTGCGTAAACTGTAGAGAAGGAAGAAGAGCACAACAAAATGATAGTTGCGAGGGAGATCTGTGTTAATCTACAGCATGTCGTGGGATTGGATTGCTTTTGCACAATCCAAGGTTTTCTATGGGTTCAGTCTGCATGCAGAGGATGAAAGAATCGAACCCCATTCAATTGATAGGGTAACAAATGGAAAGAGAGTGTTGAAAGAGAGAACCTATGCTTCTGGGAGGAATACCGAAGATGGGTGATTGAAGGGCAAAGAAGAAGCAATTGGGGATTCGACTGCGAGCAGCTCTAGGAGCAGAGGAGTGAGCTCTTTTTTATTTTTTTTCCCCTTCATTTTTTGGTAAAATGAACTGTTTCATTTATATTTTATCACAGCAGTAAAAGGCCAAAAGTTTTCAAGACGTTGATCGCGAACCCACGCTGGCACAGACGCACAGTAGCAGTAGCATTGGCAGGCCTCCAGCAGGAAGCCTTAAAAACGACTAGTTATTGATATGGTCAGGGCTGTAGGGAGTGTTCAACTTCAAAGTTCAAACAGATTGGTTATCGTGGTAACCATATTAACCCGTAGTATTCGGTATTCATTACAAGTTTGAACGAGTAACACAACATAACAAAATGACAAATATGACACACACCAGGGTCATACTTCCTTATTCCACCTTCTGTTAGAATTGATGTGTTGTATGAATGCATGCATTATAAATTAATGTATTGGTTAAATGATTGCATTTTAATATTACAACTAGGAGAAATTACCCATATCCGCCTCGTACCCAGCGATGAGAGAGAAAGGAGGGAGAGTGAGAGCGAAAGGAGGGAGCGTGAGTTGGATCCAGGCGAGAAGAGTGTGTGAGTAGAGAGAGTTCTTTGTTTTGCAGGTCCTTTGCTTTAGGAGCTGATGGCGGCAACGGTGTCTCGGGTGAGTGTCGACGGCAAGTTCGGTTGGGATCTAAAGTGGTTTCGTGCTCCCTTGGGTCGTCGGATGGTTCGCGGTGGTACAAGCTTCAGGCTGAAGAGGGTGGTAAGCGGTGGTTTATTACTATGGATGAAACCTTAATATCCTGGATTCAGGGCATTCTCCAAACTGCTGCCATGAGAAGTTGGACCTTCCCACCCGCGTGTTTGAAGAAAAGTGGCAATCGTATTATCCATGTTGGAAGGATCAGGTTTCACAGGGGTCACTACCTTCAGATTTCGAACAGGTGCGCAGCGGGAGAGTGGTTAAAATCATCATCCCTTCCTCTGACGTTGGCTGCGGGTGGTCGCAACTTATCAAACTGCTTTAGGAATTCTATTCGTGTGAACTTCAGCTTCGCCTACGATCGTCCTTTGGGGTGCTGGCGTGTAAAGAGAGAATGATCTGGTGAAGGAGAAAATGTCGATTGAAGGAAATGAACATGCAATTAGGGATTTTGACTTGAGAGTCAATTTTAGTGACCAAACTGATTGGAACCTTTCGGTCAAAACCCCAACTTGCTTATGTTAATGGACAGGACTTTGCTCGAGTGGGCTTTACTAAATCAAGCCCAAGAATCAAGAAGACTGATCCAAAACCTGATCTAGTCTTGGCCTAGGCTCAGAGAAGAAGGAACTGAGTCGATCGTCTTCTTCACCAAGCCAGGGCTCTGTCGAGCCAGAGAGAAACAGAACAGAGTGTGAAGGGAGGAGGAAGGGAGTTGCAGAAAGTAAAGTACACAGCGGATTTTTAACGAGGTTCACCACAGGGCTACTCCTCGTCTCAGGATAGTACCACTATCCTGAGAGACACTTTGATTTTCTTTATATGACGCAAGCAACAAAAAATCAAAACAATGGAAATACAGACTCTGGTGACAAAATCAAAATGTCACAAAGCTGGACCAGAATTCTCGCAGGAATTCTATACACCCTTTGATCAAGCTGAACCTATTCCTCAGCTTGATTCAAAGCCACTGATTCCCAAACCCAATCCCTCGTCCTTTGCCACAAAGGAATCCCTGTTTTCTTCAGTACCGAGCCTTTGCTCTTCTCTTTTTTAAATAGTTTTTCAAGGAGCCGTTGTAGTTTGAATTTGATGCAGGAAAGGTAAGTTGAGTAGCTGGCGAACGTGATCTTGATTGATTGATCTGCTCCCCCTTGATTTATGATCTTGCAATCTCCTAACTTGATCTTCGATATCTCAATAATCTGCCCCTAAGTTGGAGATTGCCGATTGTCCGCTTGAAACCTGCAAAACCGGAACCACTTTTCCACGCATACACAACATCTAACCAGTTCTACTCATTCAACCACATTTCAGCAAAGTTTGAAAATATCCAGCAGGCATTCAAGAGTGCAAACTTAAACTGAAACATCAAATCTAGTTTAAACAATCAGCTAGAAGAAAACACGTCCAGCAAACCAAAACCAAAAAGAGCATCAACAGGAAGAGTTAATGAAGAGTTAATCTGATTCATGCGAATCAAATCCATAAGTATCCTGAAGATCAGCTAGCACATCGCTCAGCAGAGGTAATCCTGAATCATCATCACTATCACTGCTGCTGCTGCTAATCCAATGAACTTCTATATCCTGATTTGGTTCTTCTTCTTCAGCAGGTTCCTCCTCTGGTTCTTCGGAGTCTGAGTCTGAATCATCCTCCCCCTCAACGACAACGGCAATCTCGTCTAGGACATTATCAGCAGTAAGGAAAACGATGGAAGTGGTTGAGCGAAAAGGGTCAAGGGAAATTTCAAGATGAGTGATAAGACGAGTAATCAGAGGGCCAAAAGGGAGATGACCATGGTAATCGAAATATTGGAACATGTACAGATGTCCAAACAGCAGATTAGAGTAATCGAGAGGCACATTGTTCACAGCATGCTGAATGACCCAGAGATCCAGAGGTGTGACGCGATCTAGAAGGACAGTCCTAGGAAGGAATCGATGAGTGAGGAAAAAGTGAAAGGTTCGGATAGCAGGGAGCAGGAATGTGGTTGGAAGGGTGAGCAGAGCATCAGGAGTGTGACCAGTCAGTTGCACGAACTCATGCTCGATATTGAAATTGAACAGCAAAAGCTCAGACTCATGAGCCAAAATTCCACCGACTTGAGGAATGGCAAGCAGACGCCTAAGATCCTCAATGGGGATAGTAACAAGATGACCATAAACCAAGGTGGTAAAAGTTCGAGTATCTATGCCAAAGGAACGAAAATTTGAGTAAAAAAGACGAACTGCCTTAGGACATATATGTTCCAAGGTTTCATCAATAAGAAAATCCCAACCTAGATTATGAATGAGTTGAGTGAAGTCAAGACCATACTCAACTAGACCAGCATAAGGAATCTGATAGGTGGGAATGATAGGGCGACGAGCATAAGAGGTAGCATGCCTATGGGCATTGGCAGGGATAGGGTCATGGAACAGAGTACCTGTGTAGGTGATGGAGAACTCGAACACCATTGAAAAAAACTAGACCAGCTAACTAAGACTCAAAAGCAACCGATGAATGACTAGGGACAAACACACTGACCTATAAATAGCATACCATAACGTGAAGAAAAGAAAAAAAAACACATAAAAAGGAAGAAACACGAAAGGAAAGCACAAGCAGAAAAGTAAAGAAAGAGGATCAGACAATCAGAACTGATTCTCCAGATTCTCTGGAGATCGAAGCCCTAGTTCATAACAAAGGAAAGTGAATCGATCTGCATTAATGGTTTAGTAAATAGATCAGCCAGTTGGAACTCAGTTGGGATATGATTTAATTGTATTAATTGATGCTCGACTAATTCCCTAATAAAGTGAAATTTTACTTCTATGTGCTTAGTTCTGGAGTGCTGAACAGGGTTTTTGGACATACATATGGCACTAGTGTTGTCACAAAATAATGGAATAGTTGAGGTATTGATTTTATAGTCCAGAAGTTGATTTTTGAGCCAGATAAGCTGAGTACAGCAGCTCCCTGCTGCAATATACTCAGCTTCAGTAGTGGAAAGAGCAACTGCCCCTTGTTTTTTACAAGACCAGGAAACTAACGATGTTCCTACAAATTGGCAAGTCCCTGTGGTACTTTTCCTATCAGATAGACTTCAAGCAAAGTCAGAGTTGCTATATCCTAGTAAATTGAAGCTGTCATGATGAGGATACCACAATCCCACCTCAAGAGTTCCTTTTAGATACCGAAAAATTCGTTTTACAGCACTAACATGACTTTCTTTAGGGGCTGACTGAAACCTAGCACAAAGACACACACACTGTGTTGGATGTCTGGTCTACTAGCAGTTAAATATAGCAAAGATCCTATCATTCCTTGATATTTCTTTTCATCAACTGATTTCCCAGAAGGATCTTTGTCAAGTTTAAGATTGGTTGCCATGGGAGTAGGACTAGAATTAATTGAGTTCATGTTGAACTTTAGAAGCATTTTCTGGAGGTATTTTGATTGGTTAATAAAGATACCAGATGAGCTTTGTTTAACTTGCAGACCAAGGAAAAATTTTAACTCTCCCATCATGCTCATCTCGAAAACCGACTGCATGGTTTCACAGAACTCAGTGCATATTTTAGGGTCACTAGAGCCAAAAACTATGTCATCTACGTAGACTTGAACAATAAGAATATGACTAGACACATGTTTTATGAAAAGAGTTTTATCTATACTTCCTTGAATAAATGATTTTTCGATGAGAAATGAAGAGAGACGTTCAAACCAGGCTCTAGGATCCTGTTTGAGACCATACAACACTTTGTTTAATTTATAAACGTGGTCTGGATGTTCAAAATCAATGAATCCAGGAGGCTGAGCTACATAGACTTCCTCATGTATCAAACCATTTAGGAATGCGCTTTTCACATCCATTTGATACAATGGAAATCCTATAAAACTGGCAAAAGCACACAGAATCCTGATAGATTCAAGCCTAGCTACTGGAGCAAATGTTTCATCAAAGTCCACACCTTCTTCTTGAAGGTAGCCCTGAGCAACTAATCTTGATTTGTTTCTAATAACTACATTATCCTCATCAGATTTATTACGATAGATCCATTTAGTACCAATAACAGTAACATTTCAGGTCTAGGAACCAAGTCCCAAACGTGTAAGTGTTCAAATTGATTTAATTCCTCTACCATAGACAGACCCCATTCTTCATATTGTATAGCTTCTTTCCAGTTTTTTGGTTCAAATTGAGATACAAAAGCATACTGGCCAGGGGTGTACTTACCTCTAGTTTGAAGACCATCACTAATTTTACCAATGACTTGGCTCTCGGGATGTCTCTTCTGAATATGAGGGGGCGCTTTTGGTACATCAGCTGCAGTTTCAGTATCTTCAGAGGTCTTTGCTTGAGATTCTATCTCCTGAGACTTCTTTGGATTAACTTGCTTACTACATGAATCTTGACAAAGAGGAAGTGAGTTCACTTAAATCAAGAGGCATAGAGTTATCTGATACAATGCAGTCAAAATCGGGATTTTAAGTAAAATCGAAAACTAAGGTGGAATCGGAATCGTAGATT